TGTTTGCTATAGATTTTGATAATACTACTAATAATACTGCTGCTATACCTAGATTGCGTGAATTATGTGGTTCTAATACTTTGATAGGTAGATTTTTTCATCAACGATGTGCATGCCATATTATAAATTTAAGTGTGCAAGACGGTCTAAAAGTGTTAGGAGATGCTATGGAGGTAGTCAAGGGGGGATTAGACGTATTTGGGGCAATGGTCAACTTAAACTAAAATGGCAAAATTATTTGATTGAAAGAGGTGTGAAATATGTTGCTTTTCCTAAAGATTTGTCTATTCGGTGGAATAGTACTTATAAATTAATTAAAGTTCTTCTTAGATATAAAGAACATTTTCCTACTTTTTTAAGACAATATGATAACTATATTTTAAACCCCGCTCACATCGACACGTGCGAAAAAATTTTTAATGTTTTGATCCATTTTAATAATGCAACTGATAGTTTTAGTCATGTTTATAAACCTATCTCAAACGAATTTATTCGTGAAGTTGTTAATCTCGCCGGTGCTTTTAATGAATTTGAGAATGCCGCTTACGTGAGTTATTTTTGTGGTTTTATGAAGGAAAAGTTTTTAAAATTTATGCACATATTCCGCATATTTATGGTATTGCATTTATTCTCGATCCTCGTTATAGACTTGGTAATTTGGAAGAATGTTTGAAGTTCTATTATAATGCTTTTTTTGGTCCATTTCCAATGTATGACGATAACGTCATAGATCCGCAAGTTGAATACAACGAGGTTAGTAATTTATTTTATGTCTTATTTAATGAGTTTCATGCACAATATGGCAACGCGCCCCCTCCCCCGACACACACATCTTCATCTAAAGGAAAATCATTTTTAAATCTGCTTTTGGCAATCTTATGAAAAAAACTAAAACAACTCACACTACTGAACAAAACGCACTTAATGAGATTTCTTTGTATATAAATTATGAGGTAGAATTTGACGAAAATGACGAGTTTGACGTTCTAAAGTGGTGAAAGTCAAAAGAAAGAATGTTCCCGATTTTGGCACGGATGGCTAAGCAAGTGCTATCAATGCCGGTTTCAACAGTTGCCGTGGGACAAGAATTTAGTTCGGCCGGCAACGTTCTAATGGCATCTAGAACGAGTTTGAGCGCTGAGTCTCTTGAGACGCTTATATGCTACCACGATTGGTTGAAGGTCATACGTAGATGTCAAGAAATTAGCATCACCCCCTCCCAAGACTTTATGGATGAATCAACAACCGAGGGTGGCTCCTATGCCGGAGATTCCGATTGATTAGTATTTCACAATTTATTATAAAATGTATTTCATGTTTTAATTTTTCCCTCAATACTCTATTGTAATTTGTAAAGTTGTAGTTCATATTTCAAATAAATATACATTCTTTTTGTTTTTATATGTAGCACTTCTCAAATTAATTAATTAATTAATTAATTAGTTGGTTACAAACTTACAACTTACAACTTAGAATGTATTGTATTAGTATTTTTTGAAAAATGTATTTCATATTTAAGTTGTAAAACAAAAAAAAATTGCCTAGGCCCGACCCGACCCGGCGGGTGGCCCGGCCCGAGACCCGGCGGGTGACCCGGCCCGAACCGGAACCGGGTGATGGACGGGCCGGTTCTGGGCCCCCATACCAGGATCGGAGGCCCGACCGGGCCTAGGCCCGGCTCGGGCCCGAACCGGCCCGAGTCCAGGACTACTCTTGATCTTGAAATAGAAAGAACTTTCAAACACAATTGAGTGATGCCAACACTCAATGAAAGGAAGAGGCCTGTGGTTGCTGTCACTCCCTCATTTATTGTCCTAAGTGAAGTGGATATGGACTATGAAATGAAAAATAGTTACTTCAATGCTATGCCTCAATTTCATGGTCATCCGGGGAAGAATCCACTTAACTTCATCACTGAGTTCTATGGATTCATCCAAGGGATCCATAGGCATGGTCTCACCGAAGACGACCTCAAACTCAAAAGCATTCCCTACACCTTGAAGGGGACGGCAAAGGGGTGGTTCTTGGAGCAAACACTGGCAACCTATACAACGTGGGAATGTATCTATAATGCTTTCATTTCAAAGTATTACACATCCATAATTACTCAAGAGCTAACGCAACGAATTTTCAACTTCAAACAACAAGTTGGAGAACTATTACAAGACGCATGGAGGCGTTTTAACGCCTTGTTGAAGGAATACTCACATCATCACATTCCTTTTGATCTTCAAATTGACACATTCTACAATGGTTTGAACTCTTCATGCCAAGCCATTGTAGATATTCGTGCGGAAGACTATATTGGCAATAAAATTGAAACATAAGCTTTGAGAATCTTTGAATCCATCGCTTCAAATCCTCAATTACAAGGAGGAGATATTTAGGTGGCCGGTGTGAGTGAGATGTCTATAGCTCACGAATTGGACAAACGGTTTGCTGATTTTCAACAAGCCATGCACAAGGATCTTTAAGCTTCTATTCACACGGCTCTACAAGCCATGATTGGAGGGGCCAAACAAGTGACTAATGTGGAAAGTATAGCACAACCGAAATGTAATTCACTTCAAACTCTTGAAGATGTGAATTATATGAAGTCATATGGGAATAGGGGGGATCAAGGAGGTAACAACTATTCCAACAATTAACAAAGGTGAAACCAAGGTAACTCTTGGAAACCACAAGAAGGTCATTCTAATCCCCCCATCCGAGTTTTCACAAGGGAAAAAAGAACAAACAAGGAGGTGATGATGAAAACTCTCACCCAAAATGTTGTGGCTAGTGTAAGAGCCCAAAATGAGGAGAATCATAGTAGAATGGAGGCATCCATTGGGAATCTCCATTCTCAAGTCACAAAGCTTGATCTCCGGTTTGAAGATCAAAACTGAAAAATTCATCAACGCATGGACAACATAGAACAATATATCAAGTCATCTATTCACAACTTGAAGGTACAATTGGACAAATTGCCCAAGGAAAAAGCACTAAAGAGCAGGGACGGTTTTCCACAATAACGAAAATCAACCCAAGAGAAAATGTCATGACCATAACGACACAAAGTGACAAACAAACGGAGGACCCTAAAGCTCTGGAGAAGGCTCTGGTGGCACAAGAAGAGGAGGAGTCGGAGGAACATATACCGCCACTATCAACAATGGCCAATTATGTTCCTCCTATCCCATATCCATAAAGGTTGAGAAAGAAGGATAATGGTAAACAATACAAAGAATTTCTTGATATTTTTACCAAATTAAGCATCAACTTACCATTCGCGAAGGCTATTGCGTAAATCTCTTCTTATGCCAAATTTCTAAAAGAGATTCTCTTAAACAAGAAGAAACTAGCGGACTTTGCAACCGTGACACTAACGGAGGAGTGTAGTGGAATTGTTCAAAATAAATTTCCCCCAAAGTTGAAGGATCCTGGAAGCTTCACCGTCCCATGCTCTATTGGAAAAATTAGAAAGGTAAAATCTCTTTGTGATCTCGGAGCTAGTATAAATCTTATGCCTCATTCCCTATTTAAAAATCTTGGTGTGGGGGAACTCCAATCCACATCAATTGCTCTTCAATTGGCGGATAAAACAATGCGCTATCCACTGAGTGTCATGGATGATGTTCTAGTCAATGTGGGAATGTTCTATTTTCCGGTAGATTTTCTCATCTTAGAAATGGAAGAGATGAAAATTCCAATTATTCTTGGAAGATCATTCTTAGCTACCGCCGCCGCCCTCATTGGTGTCAAGAACGGAGTTGTTAAATACCGGGTGGGAGAAGATGAACAAGAATTCCATGTGTGGCATTCATTAAAGAAACATCATGATATCTCCACATGTTTTAGTATTAACATCATTGATACTATAACTCGAGAGATGTTTGAAAGAGAGATTCACAAAGACCCACTTGAAGCATGTCTTACACTAGGACACATCGAAGAGGAGGAAGATTCCGAAATTTTCCAACAAATGATGTTCTTACAAGGAAAAGTCGTTCATAGACCCTAATGACAAAGATTTGAAGACCTTGGGCAAAGAAAGTCCATCCTCAAACCATCAAGTTAAACTTCTCCAAAACCTACTCTCAAACCCCTATTGGCACATCTCAAATATGCCTTTCTTAGCGATGGCTCCACATATCCGGTGGTAATTTCTTCTACTCTTCCTCCTTTACAAGAAGAGAAATTACTTTGGGTATTGGGAGCTCACAAATTATTAATAACTTGGTCGTTGGTAGATATCAAGGGTATAAGCCCAACTCTATGGATGCATCAGATCCTCATGGAGGAAAATCACAAACCGATGGTAGAACATCAAAGGAGGCTAAATCCAAACATGAAGGAGATGGTCAAGGAGAAAGTTCTCAAACTTCTTGACTATGGTATCATCTACTCTTTATCCGATAACAATTTTGTGAGCCCCATGCAAGTAGTTCCAAGGAAAGGAGGTACGCCGTTACAACCAATAGCAAGAATGAATCAATTCCTACTAGAATGGTTACCGGGTGGAGGATGTGCATTGACCATCAGAAATTGAATGCCGGCACAATGAAAGACCATTTACCCCCTTCCATTCATGGATGAGATGCTAGAGAGAGTGTTCGGTCATGAATTCTATTGTTTCTTGGATGGTTTTTTCGGCTATTTTCAAATAGTTATCTCATCTGAAGATCAATACCACGATTAAACACAGTTAGGCCGGATGGCTTAGCATCCTTTTCATTCATGAATTCTATTGTTTCTTGGATGGTTTTTTCGACAATTTCACTATTATCAAACACGGTCGTTGACATTTTTAGACCTCTACTTTTGATGACAAAATCAAAGTAAAAGGACTGCAAATGTTAATTTCATACTTATAATATGAAATGTCGAAAATTCTAAAGTCGGAGATCAAAGGTTTATCACTCTAAAAAAAATGACCATTTTATCACGAGGGTTTCTTTTGTTTACTAATTTGTCTCAAATTGTTTTTTTTTACCATCCAACAGCCCTCTTTTTTTTTACCAAATTTGGTAATTTGGCCGGCACTTGGCCAAATCCTGTGGCCACATCCTGTGAAAATTCCTATTCAGTGCACATGTCCGTGTGCTTGTTTGCAGGAGAAAATGGCGAGGGGTATAAATGTAATTTGGCCTGTTGTACTCATCATCCTCGTATCGAGCTCGTGCAGGAGAGCGACCAGTTTCACGCAGGCATTTTCTCAAACAGAAGAGGGAGCTTGGATGCATGGAGGACGTAGCAGGAAGAGGTCGAGTTTAGAATTGAAAGGCGGACCAGATGATGTGGCCTGGGTGGTTCAGCTCTCTGATCTCCACTTTAGCATACATCATCCCGAAAGAGCTCATGACTTCAAGGCCATCGTAGGCCCTACTCTCGCCATGGTCAACCCTTCCTTGGTCTTTATCACTGGTGATCTGACCGGTAAACCACCTTTCATTCATCTCAATTGTTTATCTTTGTATAGTTTTATTACTTTAAAGTTCATGAATCCACTCTTGTTAAGTATATGTTCCATAAAGATATAAATGATCTTGTTGATAGCTTTACAGCTTCTTGAGCATTTTAACTTTGAGCCTGAGATATACAAGTACTACTAATTAGAATACTAGTCTAATAGAGAGTGAAAAAAATACATTTAATTACTACCAAGCCTTTAGGCCTATTAGCCCAATTAGGTCATGTAGCAATATATAGACTAATATCTGGAGGGAGAATTTTAACAGATGCCCAAGTGGAGAATTAATTGGTTGGGGTGATTGGCTCCCAATAAATTAGTCAAATATCAGCAATTTGATTAGGGTGAGCAATATGAGTTGCACGAATTAGATTTAGAATGGGTAAAAGAAACGCATCACTAACTTGAAGCAATTTGTTGAATTGTTATAGTTTAGTGAAAAGATCATCAAGTTGGACAAATGACTCTTGGTGATTCGACGAGTGACATAACAATCCGCTTAATCAAATTTTAGATTCAATTATTCGTGTACAATAAGCGGGTTTAACATGATAATTAACGGTTAAAATTACATTCTTAGCGTTTTGATTAGCGGGATTATGGGATGAATGGGTGATTGGTGATTAATAGTTTTTTTTTTTGCGGGTTCAGCATTTAATTAACAATTACATTATTCATGACAACCAGGATGACACTATTTTAACTACTAGCGGCAGAAAATTTCACATCATGAAATCTAAGGATGAAGATATAAAAAATTGGGCTATTTCCAAGGAGGAAAGAATTACCGGGATTAACGCGACGATTAGTAATGATTAGAAATTGGCCTATAATTTGTACTACCTCCGTCCCGGCTTAAACTTCTCACTGAAAAATGGCACGATTATTTAGACAATAATTAAATAAGGTTATTCGAGTATATTTTGAGAAGTAGTTTTGATGGGTTTATAATATGATGAGGTCAAAGAGAAATAGGAAGCTCTAGTTGGGACGTCCAATAGAGGCAAGTGAGATGCTTAAGCTGGGATGGAGGAAGTAGTTTAATTAGTGTTTTCACTGGTTTGCTTATTGAATTTTTTAGTGAGATGATTAGCAATTCGGTGATTTCAGTCATCGGTAATTAAGGGGTAACGAACTATAGTTTTGGCAAAGGACGGAATAACATGATGACTAGTGATTTTTTTTGTCAGGGATAGTGACTCAGCGTTGTAATTTTCAATTACGTTATCCGTCAGAAAAAGTTAATGAACAATATCTTATAAGAGTAAAATGTTAGTAGGATGGAATCATTTTACACTAAAATTTGACAACAGAGGCAGCGGGAGACGAGGAAATGGTCATGAAGCCTATGAACAGCACCAAAGGGCGTATCACCCTAAGTTTGCCTGTAGGACACTATGTTTATAAAAATAGGATGAAACATAATCATTATAACTCTGTTTTGTTTAGTATTGACTATTGAGCTTTTAGTGATTAGTTATTTGCAAAGAATTGAAAGGGTTTTGAGAATTATATTTTGAATACCTTTGTTTTAGCAGAGGTTGGAATTTGCGATCAATTTAGTTTGATTGTTTGTGGCCTTTGTGGGAAAAGTTGGAATGTTGACATTTGAGATTCAGGGGTTGGTTATTCCATGATATGGAGGGATATATTTTGTTGGGTGTCAAAAATGCAGTTGTTTGGCACTTTGGCTGTGCTCTCTATGATGAAAGAAAGCAATTTTTTTAGGCTTGTTTGGAAATTCGAAAACAAAATGAAAAAAATTGGTTTGTGAAGCGTCCGACTATAGGAAGAATGAAAAAGCAGAGGATCTTTGAGGCTGTTTATTTCATGTGAGAATTAAATAATATTAGAGATGATTTCCATTTTGCAATTACTGTTGACTTCTAAGGTGAGGTGTATGGTGAAAGGTTTCCATTTTGCAATTATACAGATAAAAGACACTTTTGGCAAAGGGGATAGGGGGTTTGGAGGATCAAGTAGCCCGTTGCATTCATTATCAAGTTGCTGAATTGTCCAATCTCATACCACAACTTTGAGAATCTGGGGTGTATTGATTCGTCCTTCTTGAGAAGAGGATAGCGGATAGCCAGATATAGAGAGTGGCTTGATGATGAAAAGAAAAGAAACTAGGGTGTAGATTTGTTATTGGGTAAAGTTCTAGGATGCTACAACTTTGTAGTGGCACACTAGTATACCAAAGAAACCATGAAATAAGGGCTATTTTCATGCAATGTTGAAAGCGTATATTATCAATGAGATTTTCTTTTAGCAACATTCTTCGTGGACATTTATGTATTCTTCTAGCCATATACACTTTCAACAAATTCTTGACAGGGAAATAGTGCTTGGGTCTTTAAAATGGTTACTAGTTATTGAGTTTGTTTCAGAATCTATGAAGTGTGTGGTCTCTTATATATAACTATGGATGCATTGATCAAAACATCAATGCATTTGTACTTCAAATTACACTTACACCAAATGTTCTTAATCTTTCTTGATTTCTTGTAGATGGGAAAAGCAAAGATTTATTAACAATGAAGCAGGATGAAGCAGAGTGGGTAGAATATCAGAAAGTAATGGACGATGTCATTGAAAGAAGTGGGCTAAAGAGGAGCAATTTCTATGATCTCAGAGGAAACCATGATAGTTTTGGTGTGCCGAAGACTGGCGGTTCATTTGATTTTTACTCTAAATATAGCATCAATGGGCAGCTAGGAAGAAGAGGACCAGTTAACAGTGTCACACTGGAGGTTTGCTATTTTTTATTATCTGTTTCTGCTGGTTTTAACCACTCTGAGGAAGCCAAGAAGTAAAATCGGAAATATGATGATGATACTAATTGATCTTTTAGAAGATGAATGAAAGTATAAGGCCTTTATCATTTCTGCTGGCCCTTTTCTTGTCTTTGCATTATGTTGCTAATCTGACTAATTTATTGGTCCTCCATTCTTTCATAACATGGATGTCTAAGAAACAAAGCTGTTAGTGTAAATTATGTTCTGCATTGGCCGGAGTAATATTTCCATCATTTCCAATGGAGCCAAAGACTCACTATTTTTTGGCTTGTGAATATGATGGAATAAAGCAAAATGGCTCACTAAACTGTTTGCGCTTCCTTTGCGGCACTGGGGTAATATTGTTGTTGTATTGGCCGAAGTGATGATTCTCAGTTTTTAATTTAGGAAAAATTGAAAATAATAATCCCAACTATTGCTGGTCCGCTGAAAATAATCCCAACTATTGATTATTTTTGTATAATCCCAACTATATAGACTATCCGCCAATAATGGTCCATGACCATATATTACCTCTATAAAAAGTGAATTTTAAATAGAAATTAAGCGTAAAAATTAAAAGTTGAGATTATTTATAGGGATTACTTGTTATATCTTATCTCATCCACTTAAGAAACTACAAGAATTTATTCATAGGGACCATTATTGGCGGAAGGTCCCTAAAGTTGGGATTATTCTGTAATAATCAATAGTTGGGATTATTATGAGCGGACCACCAATAGTTGGGATTATTACTATCAATTTTTCCTTTAATTTATTATATTTTGGGATGTCACAAGGAAGGGTAACCCAATGTTTAATATATTGGTTTGAATAGGAGAAGCTGATAGAAGTAGGCAAATGGAAACTGAATCATGTTGTTATTTGTAATGCTGCAGTTGTCATCCACTTATCCCTATTCATGTTAGCAACCTGCCTTAGTGAAAATGCAACATACCATCAAGAACATTTGGTCAATTTTACAGTATTGTGGGGCTAGTTGGTAAGTCGCCATTTCTTATATCAGTAAATTTTTGAACAGTAAAACTACAACTGTCAACAGCCATCTAAAGAAGAATTCTTCCTTACTGGCTATTGGCTTCTTTATGGGTTCTGCTCAGTAATTCGTTTTTTATATTACTCTGCACAAATGTTTACACATTCATTTAGTGCATATATTTTTTTTTTTTGGTAAAAATTTAGTGCATATATTGATTAGCTTCCAGAAGTAATTCCAGTAAGTACCCATTGCAGCATTTTCTACTTGCTTAATGCTTTCATATTGGTTCAGACTGGCGGGCACAATCTACTTTTTGTTGAGTTCGACAGCTCCACATCTTTAGGTTTGCGGGGTCCAACAAATTTGTTTGGTCATCCAAATGACCAATTGCTAACCGATATAAGCTCCGAGCTTTCACAATTTGATCCCCTACCTAGAAAACCTGTCATTAAAATTTCCCTCGGCCACTTTCCACTCTCCTTTTCTGCTGCAGCTTATTCCGGAAGGACTTTAAAGGACATATTTCTGATGCACTCCTTGTCAGCGTACTTGTGTGGGCATCTCCATACAAGGTTTGGGAATAATTTGAAGCGGCATCATGAATCAAATCACCAACAATTCTTTCAGTTGAATGGACAAGGGTTACCTGTTGAAACACCTAATGAGTTTTCTCTCAAGGGAAGATATGAATTTTGGGAGTGGGAAGTAGGTGATTGGAGGAAGAGTAGAGCTATGCGCATTTTGGCCATTGATAGAGGTTGGATTTCATTTGTAGATGTTGACTTCAGATCCGGGGCAAAGAAAACAATCATATTGCCTACATTTCCCCTTGATTCTCGCTTTATCTCAGACAAGCAGTTTCAGAGTAATGAATCTCTGTATGTGGACCCTCTACTTTATAGTGAAATCAGAGTTCTCTTGTTTTCCTCTTCTCCAATTGTATCTGTTGTAGCCAGGATTTATGACTCGAGGCCTGGTAATCTCATTGTTGTATTTGAGTCTCCTATGAAGAAAACTGGGAATGCCCTATCCAGGGGAGACCTGTATACTTGTCCATGGAACTATAAAGCCTTTGAAGATCCATCTCCTGAACGATTCTTGTTGAAAATTGAAGCGCTTGATATTAGTGGCCACTCAACATTGACTGAACTACGGCCCTTTTCCATTAGTGGTCAGCGAGCAAAGCTCGGATGGAGTTGGAAAGAGTTTTTCGTTATGGGTTGTCAATGGGATGCTTTATATTACCCCATCTTGTGGTCCTTTTACTTTTTTGCCCTATCCATTCTTCTGATTCCAAAAGCTACCTTAGTATTTTTCAGAAAACAATATGCATATAAAAAACTGATTGCCAACAGAGGGTTATTAAACTACACAACCCGGACTCTTGTGGACATATACAGTGTTCCTCGGCTGTGGTATTGCATGGTCAGTTACTTGTTTTACCTCATATTATGTCCTTGGCTTTGTGGCCAAGTTCTCATGGAAGGAGAAAGAGGATACATGACATATCAAGGTTGGATATTGAGATCCAATACAAATGAAATGCCAAGTGAAAAGCCAAGTGTTTTTGGGTTTCCAGATGTAATGGTGGTTGTGCTTCCACATCTTTGTTTTGTTGTTTTGCCTGCAATCTTGGTTATGGTAGCATTTTTGGTTGAAAGAGGAATATACCAAGATTCTCTCCGGTCACTTTCTAGGAAAAAAGATGATTCTGATGTGAAGAGTAATGAGATATCTTCATCCACATGTGGAAGAGGTGACTATAGATTCGTACTTCTCCGTGTGCGGTTGATTAGGAAGATAGTACTGATTATAAGTCTGGCAATATGTTGGTATCATTTTCTGGTAAGCTATTTTCCTCATTTTATTTAATTTTAGACTTTAAAGTTTTTTTTTGTTTTTTTTGTAAATAGGGTTTGTTTGGATGATCCCTCAATCAAATTAACATCCACACTCAATCAAGTTAAAAACAAACCCGGGTTGAAGTCCGATGTCAATATAATTCGATATTCTGCTCCTATTTTTTGAAATGTCAAGATATAGACACAGTACTTTCCTTGACCCTTTTTAGATGGAATTGCTTTCTGGTTAGCATCTCTGTAGTACACAAACTAATGGAATCCATGGAGCAAGAGTTCAAGACTAATACAGGATGTTCTTATTCTGAAACTCAGTTTTCGGTTTCTTAGGGTTCTCTAGATAATTTCCCTCTTTAATATTCACAATTCATATTTGTTTATTTCAAAATAGGGAAAAAGTGCAAATAGGCCCATGTACTAACAAAAAAAGGTCAAATAAGCCCTTATTTAGGAAGTTCTGTCCGGCCGTCGTCATTTGGGGTGGTTCCTGGTGGATTTTTTTGATGAAATTTTTTGAACATCTTATTCATCAAGTCTAGTTTGCTCATACCAAATTTCAGCTAAAACTTCAATCGGGAAGGCATTCAAATGAATTCTTGAAAATAACTGCGCAGTTAGAAGCGCAGTTATCTTCAAGAATTCATTTGAATGCCTTCCCGATTGAAGTTTTAGCTGAAATTTGATATGAGTAAACTAGACTTAATGAATAAGATGCTAAAAAAATTTCATCAAAAAATTCCACTGGGAACCACTCCAAATGGCGACGGCCGGACAAAGCCTCCTAAATAAGGGCTTATTTGACCTTTTTTGGTTAGTACATGGGCCTATTTGCACCTTTTCCCTTCAAAATATATGATTTTTTATGGATCAACTAAGAGTAAAAACTGGTGTCTAATTTACCATTCGTCCATATTAACACTTTTTTTTCCTGCAGAATTGCAGAGATCTTTGTAAAGCGTATGACATGAATCCATTTATCCATTTCCCAATTTATAGCATGTCGGTACCACTTCTGTTGGCTTACACCATCTACAGAACTCGCAGAATTTGAGCGGAAAGTCGTGTAATTAAGACGTTTGTCAAGTTTTTGGCGAGTATAATTTGTTTTTCTTGTTATCCAACGATCAAATTTTCTTGTTTATCACTTATTCCATGATAAGCATATGTATTTTCCTATCTGAGCTCAAACAGTATAAACAATCACTTTGTTGCCTGGGAATGCCAATTCTTAAAACAAAACTAACATTTGTTTGTCTATATAATAATACCATTTCGTCATTTCATGGCCGACTATATCTCATTTCGTTATTTCTGGTTCAATGAATTTTCAACAAACATTTTCATGAAATACGTAACTTTCAATTTCGTGTGGTGAAATGTGTAATAATCAAAATAAGTAAAGAGAAACTTACCTTTCCAGTTGAATTGACTTAAACTACCGTAGATGACAATTTTAACTATTTTTCCATATAATTTTTTTTATATTTTATAATTTTTTTTTTCAAATTCAGCTAATTTGACCGCTTCAGCTAGAATTTCATTAATTTTAAAAGATTCAAATGATTAAGCCAATTCCAATTTTATCAAAGAGGCTCTTAAAGTTTATACTATCTATGTTTAAGACCTTTTGGTCTAGATATTACGAAAAAAGGAGGATAAATGACAAAAAAATAATCTCTTTTTAAAATTTCCAAAAATGTGACCAATATCACAATTAAATCCTAAGTGGCAAAGTGAGTCAGGCACAATGACTCCAACCAATAGTGACTTTGCTGTCACAGTGACTTCGTCGCCAAAGTGGCTCCGCCGTCACAGTGACTCCGACCAAAGTAACTTCGGCCACAGTGACTCTGGTTAACGTGACTGCTCGTCCATCGGCCATAGTGACTCCAATTACAGTGACTGCTTGCCCAACTCCATACACCGCCGCCACTTTCCGGACACACCTGGCTTACCACTGTCGTCGTCAGCACCCTCCCCAGCTCCCAAACCACCTCCTTAGTCCCTAGCACCCTTTAGCCCCGCCCCTGACCTGCCCCCACCCAGGCCCGGCCCGGCCTAGGTGCAACTGGTGCACCTGCACAGGGCCCCCAATCCTAAGAGGGCCTCCAATTTTTAATACTCCGTAACATTCCATTGTATTATACATAGGCCCAATAATATTTTTTATCAAATAACTTAAGCCAGCGGCGGCCCAACCCGGTGCTATTTGTGAAGCGCGTCCTGCTTGGCCCAATGAGGATTTGGTCCGGAAAAGAGTAAAAAACCCGTAACAAGTTGGCAAAACAATTGAACCTGAGAATCAATCCTTGGTTCTCCACGGAAAACAGCAGAGCCTCAACCATTGAGCTGAGTGGATCTGTTTGTTGGCTCTTCACTTTAAGCGAACTTATACCCTTTCGTAATAAATTGTTTGAGTTAAACTAATTTTGCTAGTTCTTGCTCTCTAATTAATAATCAAAATAAAAATGATAAAACATATTATATCTATAAAGGAGTATTAAGTACAAATACTAACATTTTTTCTAATAGATGTCATATTCATATATATTATACCCTTTGTAACCTTTACATTTTTTCTAATAGATGTCATATTCATATATATTAACTATCTAATGTCAAATACGTTTAAAATTTTGTTAAAAGTATTACTCCGTATATATTTAGAAGAATAATTATATCTCTATATTAAGAGTGTAAGATCCTTATTTCTCTTACAGTTTACAATTTGTAAATTATAGTTGAATTCTTACATGCGATCTACAATGTCATAAGAAGCACTCATTGATCAGCTTTAGTAGCAATTGAGAGTGATCTATTGCATATCAATACATTATTGAAGATTTTATTTCAATTTTTTTTAGAAAGAAAGCATTGTTCAATAAGAGTGGTTTAAGATCAGAATTTTGATATTCTTGGTGTTTACTTCATCAAGTAGAATTGCATTTTATAAATTTGATTTTTATTGTATTATTGGTATTATTGTTCTAAATTAAACATTAGGGCCTCTAATTTTACATTGAACAGGACCTTCAATTTTTCAGGACCGGGCCTGCCCCCACCCACCTCACAAGCTTCGACTCTGACCAGCCGACCCAGTTCCAACCTCCCCAGCCCCTGCGTCGACCAAAGCCAGATCTAAAATGCCTTAGCCTAGGGGTGGACTCGGGCCGGGCCAACCGGCCCGGAACCGGCCCGCTACTGTGCGGGCCCGGACCGGCCCGGTCACCCGGTTCTTAACCGGTTCGGGCCACCCGACCCGGTGGTATAGCGGTCCGGGCCCGGGCCTCCATTTTAGGGAACCGGCCCGGCCGGGCCGGGCCCGGTTCGGGCCTCCAACGGCCAAATTTTTATTTTTTATTTTTTTTTTTTAATTTGAAGAGGCTCCTAGCCGTTGGGAAGGCTCCCAAACGGCTCTATAGCCGTTGGGAACATAGGAGGGGGGGGGGGGTCTGGGGGGTTAGGGGGGTCGGGTGGGGGTGGAGGTGGGGTATAAAAAAAAAATCTATTTAAACTCCTATTTTCTCTACATTTTTTACACCTCTTCTTCTACAACTCTTCCTACTCTCTAATTCTCTACTCTAAATCTCTCATATTCAATCATCTTCATTCTTCATCTTCTCCAAATTCTTTCTACATATATGTAATTTATATAATTATTATATCTACTTATATATTAATTATCTATTTATAAATATATACTTATACACATTCATATTATAATTCTTTACACATTATATATACTACATAAGTATATATACTATACACATTCATATTCACTTGATATTTAGTTATTATCCATACTATTGTTATTTACTTATATTTACATATTACATTTAGTTAATATATATATATATATATATATATATATATATATATATATATATATATATATATATATATTAAAGTATTAAGTATAAGTGTATTACTCATCTTATAGTAATATACTTATATATTATATACTATAAACATTATATTATATATTACTTATAATATATTTACACATTATATATACTATATATACTTATACACATTCATATTTATTTGATATTTAGTTTTTATACATACTATTGTTATTTACTTATATTTACATATTACATTTAGTTAATATATACTTATATATATATATATTAAAGTATTAAGTATAAGTGTATTACTCATCTTATAGTAATATACTTATATATTATATACTATAAACATTATATTATATATTACTTATAATAGTAGTTAATTGTTAGACTTCTAATTTATCTATTAAATTAGTTAATTGTTACATTTCTCTACATTTCTCTACATTTCTCTTTAAAGAAAAAAATAGTTAAAGTAGTATATTTTTACATTTGTCATATTTCAATTAGTTAAAGTACTTAATTGTTTCATTTGTCATATTAAAATTAGTTATTTCATACATTGCTCATTAAAGTAAAAAAAAAAACTAGTTAAGTTTTACATTTGTCATAATAATATTAGTTAAACTACTTAATTGGTACATTTTTCATATTAATATTAGTTACTTGCTACATTTCTCATTAAAGTAAAAAAAGTAGTACATTTTTACATTTGTCATATTAATATTAGTTAAAGTATACATTTCTCATTAAGGTAAAAATAACTAGTAAATTTTTACATTTGTCATTTTAAAAACTACCTAAAGTAGTTAATTGTTAAATTTGTCATATTAATATTAGTTAAACTACCTAATTGTTACATTTCTCATATTAATATTAGTTAATTTGTACATTGCTCATTAAAGTAAAAAAAAAAAAACTAGTTAATTTTTACATTTCTCATATTTATATTAGTCAAACTAGTTAATATTTAGTTAATTGATACATTTCTCATTAAAGTATTAATTAGAAGTAGTTCGATTTTTATACTCATATTTTAGTTCGAATTTGCAATAGTTTTCTTAGTCACATTTTATTATTACTATTGTACTCATATAAAATATTTGATATCATTTAATATTTGTTCAATTTTAAAGATGGAACGTGGTAGACATTCTGTAGATGTGGGTAATCTCCAACGCAACCGCAAGAGGGAGATTGTGTCGACTCGTCCTACTTCACGCAAAGGCAAAGGTAAAGCGCGGGCCGAGTCTTCTTTTCAAAGTCGAGATGATTTTGAAACGGATTACCAACGGAGAGATGATATGATGATGTCCAATGAGCATCTACAAAACCTATTGTCCCAAAACGATCCACGCTTTGCACAAGAACAACCCATCCCGACAACCATTGATGAAGAGGAGCTCGAGGATGACGATGCGGAGGAGGACGCGGGGGGCGACGGGACTCACGGCACCCCGGATGATGAGCAAGACTTGGAGGACGAGGGCGGTTCAACCCAAACTGGTAAGAAATCTAAATCTCCTATTATTGAAAACAATTTTACAAAAAGGAAAGACAAAAATACCGAAAAATGGTACGCAAGTTGCAATCATTGCGGCAAAGAGTATAGCTTGGGAACTTCTGGCGGATACGGGAGTCTCACAAGGCATCTTAAGTCCGCCCATCTTGTGGAGTATGCGAAAATAGACAAGGGCAAGGGGAAGCAAACACAAATATCGAGGTTTGCAAATTCTCAACCCTTTGGTAATTTCTCCTATGATGATCAAAAACATTTGACTGGTATGTCTCATTTAATTGTTGAAGAAAATTTACCCTATATTTTTTCTGAAAGTCTTGCTTTAAGAGATTATGCTCAAGGCACTTTAAATCCTCAATTTAGAAATTATAGTCGCAAAACGATTAAAAAAGAAGTTATAAGGCAATATAACTTCGAAAAAGAAAATTTACAAACATTTTTCGCAAACTTTAATGGACGTGTTAGTATTTCTAGCGATATATGAGAGGATACTTATCATCATTTATATTATTCGGGTCTTACTTCACATTATATTGATGATGATTGGAATATGCATAAACGTGTTCTTGCTTTTCGTGAATTCAATGATCGTCATACTGCTAATAATATTTATATTCTCATTGAGCGTATTTTAATTGAGTATAATTTGCTTGATAAGGTGTTTGCTGTAGGTTTTGATAATGCTAGTAATAATACTGCTGCTATACCTAGATTGCGTGAATTGTGTGGTGATTCTACATTGATGGGTAGGTTTTTTCATCAACGTTGTGCATGTCATATTCTAAATTTGTGTGTACAAGATGGGTTAGCGGCATTAGGAAATGCTTTGGAAGTAGTGAAGGGGGGAATTAAATTGATTTGGGCTAACACTCCACTAAAAATGCAATGGCGGCAATATTTGAAGGAAAGACGTGTCAATTATTG